TAATTCGTGATTTCAAAATTGATACTCGTAGGGCCGGTTTTTCTCACGTCTTGGTCGGCCAACTAATAATTGAATTATGTGTCTATTTTCGTTTAATCTGAAGGAAAAACGAAGACGCGCATATGATTTAATGATTAGTTAACTTGCCAAGATGTTGGAACAACCGGCCCTTAATAATGTAAAATCACAAAAACTTTCTAACAGAGTTATGCAGCCTATGTATTATAGATAGCATAGCTGTTACTTATGGTATAGTGTAATACGAGCTTTACAGCGTCAACTTTTGCAAAACAAAACAATGTCTCAGTCAGTTGAATCCTCTAAGTGATTTTTAAAGACAATCGCAGTGGTAGAATACGCGATATATCGCACTTAGGGGATTCAACTGTTAGAGACATCGCGTTTTGTTTCGCAAGAGTTGACGCTGTAAAGCTTCTATGTACGCTATAAGTTACAGCCATACCGCCTATAATACGTGGACCGCGCAACTCCGTTAGAAAATGTCTACGGCAGAACTGTGAGAAACGCAAAATGAGTGCACCTCTCCATGGGTTGTCTTAATCTTCATCAGTCCCCTCTCTTTTCTTCCATTTTACGATGCGTGTGTATGTACAGGCCCATGGTTACAGCCACGGTCTCACATAATTTGTTCTTTCCTAAACTCAAAGTTCGGCTTGGAGGACAGAAATTTTTATCGAACGAGGAGGTCATGGCATTCGTAGATGCCTATTTTGCAGAGCAAGTGTGTCGACTTAGAAGGAGACCAGAGGCTTGTTTTCTGTTCCTACACTAGTGAACTAGTGCAATAAATTGGAGTAAGACAAGCATATTTTTTCTCATTCTAGCTTACTGCACTAGTTCACCAGTGCAGGAACAGAAAACAAACCCTATGTCGAAAAATAACAGTGAGTTTGACCGAAAAAAAAAATTGTTTCTACGTTAGGCACGAAACTTTTCCACCCAGCCTCGTAGTGAAATTATATAATAGCAGTTTCAATTATATTTAAGAAGCCTTGGATATTTGTCAAATATCCCCAACTCTGCGTCTTAGGATAGATGTGATCTGGGATTAAAATAACGTAAAATGCACGGAGTAATTGTACTCCGATTACATCGGCGGTGCGTGACAAAATGCAGCTCGCGATTAGATAGCAATTTCACCTTTAGTAATATTGCGCAACGGGGAAGGCGAGATAAATCGATGCTCATTGAGCCGCACGAGCACGCACTGTAAACTCTCGTTGCCCGTCAACCGACAGGTGATAGATTAAAATGTGGCGATCATATACGCGGCCGAGCCGCCTAAGGGGAAGCGGAAAAGAAGAAACGCGCCAATCGCTCGAAAGGAAATAACCGCGGGAATTCAAGTTCCGTTATTACTCACCGTCGTTTCATTTGCATGACTAATGCACGTCGCGATTACGAACATTATCGTCGCGGAAACTTTTTTACGAACAAGATTCGTACGTCTCTTTTATCGCGGCATAAATCGCATCTGTGTACATTATTACGACGGTATTGTGATTCCGTAACTTTAACGTCACTTTTCATAAAATTTCGACCATCAAAATAACTTTTTTTTTATAACGTTTGCACGCGACGACCGTCGCGATAGAATTCATCCCGTTATAGTATTTCCACAGAGGTGTCTCGTTTTCACTGATGGATGAAATCCCCGTTAAAATCTTTCTATTCTCCGCTACTTTATTCGGAGTTAAATGAGTCGAACGCACAAAGCAATCGGATTTTCCATTTTTCTCGTTTTATCGCGAGTTTTATCTCGCGCGTGCGTTTCCACTTGCCTGCTCTTTTTTTTCTCTCGCTCCAAGTACTAACGGGTTGCAATGTGTATAACGAACTGGATGCAAGTGCATTCGGATCGCCGCATCGCCGTGACACGCTGCGGCACGATCGACCGCACACGTGTCGTTTAGCGTATCCTCCACCACCCACTTGCGTGTCCCTATCACCCAGGCCGTGGGTGGATACACGACTGACGTCGCCGTCGTATCGTGACGCCGCGATCACGCGCCAATTACGGTCACGTAACCCTTAGAGGATCGCCTCTCTCTCTCTCGTTGAGAAGAACCGTAGATGAATGTTGTTGCATAGAAAAATCTGTTTTCTTTGTTGTGGGTTACAGAAAAAAATTGCAGTGTCTGTTGACCTCATTTGCTGTGTCTACATTTTTGTTATAATTAAATAGCAGCTTAGCGACGCCAGTCAAGAAACCAAGAATTTTAATAAGTATAGAAACGACCTTACTGGCAATTCCTTATTAAAATGAAGCACAATGTTTCGGCCAGTAATACTGGTCCTCTTCGGGTAACAAACTTGCAAGAGTGCCTGCTATTGTCCGAAGAACAGATAAACAAAATACGGAATAAATTAGGACGAGTTCTCACATATCAGAAAAGAAAATTTAGGTGTTTTTTTTATAAAACTTACGAGATTCGTTAGATTAGAGATGCGAAAATTAAGTTAGAGGTCAGAAATTTCGCTGTGCAATGTGTCTAGTCGTCAACGTTGAAAAACAGAATAAGCGATAAATACAGGAATTATAAGGAAACATGGAAGGGGAGGAATGTAAATACTATGTTATTCTAATTATCCTATTGTATAGAGTATATTTTAATAAAGAATTGCCAGTAAGGTCGTTTCCATACTTATCTTTAAAAAAAAGTTCGTATGTATACCTGAGAGAAATAAAATAAAATTGGGATTTTGCTAGCCCTTTTACTTTTTCTCCAGTACGAGTAATTGCGAGCTTTAAAAAACTTAAAGAGAAATAAACATACAAACCGAAGGAGATTGCTTGAAAGATGTTTTTGGACAAAATATCCAAATACTTAAAATTCTTTAAAGATCCAGAAAATTTTAGAAAATATCAATCTTTAAGAAGAGCAAATTCTTTTTCATGAAGACAAGTTAAGTTAGCATACTCTGGAAAATGTATTTTTTTGAACTAAAGGAAATGAGAAACAGATCGTTTTTCATTTCAATATTGAGACAAATCGAGATTGTTTCGAATACGTTTATCACGTATGATTTGATCTTGCGTTTTTCTTTCCGTACATCCATTTCTTTGTTACAATCGTATTCGTTTGGTTAACCGACTTCAGCGGTTATGGCGAGTTGATCCCATTCGGCTCTTCCAATCGCGTCGTCCGTGATCTTGGCGAACGACGCCGAGACCGACGCAACAGCGAAGTACCTTTCACCCTGGAAGCCTGCCAACTTCCTCGAGGGTAAGGACAAAGCCGGCCAATGGACCGTCATCCGTAGCGTTGCTGGTATATTCGTGCTAATGGTCCACACTAGCTATTGCATCGCCATTATATTTTCATCTTCCGCCTATTATAATATATCTTCATCTTCCTTTTGGCGATATAATTTCTAAGTACAAAAAATGTAAAGGAGATATTTGTTAGCTTATTTTATGACGAAAACGTCCTGTGAACGTCCTAAAATGTCAAAATACAAGGTGTCAAATTTGAGAAGAAATAAAAATTTCAAAAATGTAAGAAAACATTTAGAGATTTTTGCTCAAATTTGATACATATGATATTGAGAATTTGCCGATAAAATATTTTTAGCAAAAAGAGTGAAGCTATTTGTGCTTTTAATTCCAATTTGTTATTTTAACTCGAAAACGGCTGACTGCATCAAAACAATACAGGAGATAGTTTTTTTTATTGAGTTTAGTTCGGGTTTTCAACAAAATTGTTAAACTTGGGAGAAACAGTTGTGTACCATTCTTTCATTAAAAAAAAAACTTAATATTACTCATATGCACATCCCTGGTGGATCAATTTATTTTGTGAATAATGTCTTGCGCCCACGCTCGCGAAACTTGGATGGTTTTGCACGGCGTTGCGGTTATCCTAGACCTGTGTTATCCAAGATTTGTTAATTATGGATATTGTGGCTTGATGTTCACTTTCCTTTGCCGCTGATGCCTTCCTCTCTTGCTTAATGAAGATAGGAGAAGGAAGACACTGATGCACGTCAAGTCAGTGCCCAATTACAAAGTTTAGACAGCACTGTCATAGACAGGTTCGAGATTACAAATTAGCTCGTGGGCTTCCGACTGCGAATATTTCAGATGCGTTTCCCCAAGATGCAGCTCCTTCGTGTTTATTTACGATACGAATCCCGTGATTTTCAGTGTCACGGATTCAGGTTTCTCGCGGAATTTTCTGCGGTCTGCGAGGCTAGTTGCTGTAAACTTACGCTCGCTAGGTTATTAATCAGATTGACCATGCGTATCCGTACTTGACTTAATTATACACTCTTCTTCTTCTTCCTCGTGTATTAGGCTTAAAGTCTGTTTTATCCAGCTCCCGTTCTGGTACTTTGAGCATTTGGTTTTACTTCATCTTCGGTAGGCTGCTAACCTTGCCGAAGAAAACCTCCCATCTGGTAATGGCTTTACCCCTGAAGGGGTATGTGTGGCAAGATACTCTCGGCGGTTGCCACTTCTCTTCGGGAGATTCCGAAAAAAACCAGCGGTGTCCGTGGATTTGAACTCGGATCCTTTCGTTCATTTGTTTACTAAGCAGCGCACATTTCTCTGCGCCACACTTGCCCCAATTGTACACTCTAATACCTGAATACCAACTGTTTCAGTATCATTTTTGAAATCTTGAACACATTAAGGAGATCTTTGTGATTTCGCAAGGGATTGTCCCGATTAAACACGACAATATTTCACAATCACACACAGTCCCGGACAAAATCTCGATTGGACACAGTCCCGGATACGTTGGACACGTATGGTGTCCAATTGAGAAACATTGTGGTGTCTGATCGGTTATGTGCACAAATCGGGACTCACTCATTTCGCAATATACATCTTTTAGCGGTATTTTCGCAACTTCTATCAATTTATTTCCAGATAATTTTTTAAAGAACCCTTCGGCCCGGGTTTTCATTTTCTGGTTAACTGTTGACCAGAAGTTAGTCGATTCCCCATCTTTTTCTATGTTATTATCTAAGAAGAGACAGAGAGTCGATTAACCTCTGGTTATTAAATTAACCAGAAAATGAAAAACCGGGCCTAAGACTATTTTTTTATCACTCGACATAAGATTATTTACAATAATTTTATGTGGACTTCCAATAGGAAGTTACGCGAACAAGAATTAAAATTTCTATTTGCTGCAGTAGATGTCCAGATTCGAAAGGATTGAAAGGAGAAAAGAGAGCGTATATCCTGAAAGCGTCCAAATATTTTAAAATTAAGTATGTCTCTTCTCGTCTAAAATAAAAAAAAACCATCAGAACCGCTTTCTATTCCTCGCTCGGGTCTTCCACTTAACAAGTTAGACTCATTACAAATGCCCTTTTATCTCTCTAATGACGATTCGCGGCGGGAAACGTGTCTCTGTTTCTTGACCTGCCTGCACCCAGTTCAACCGGCCAGCTGATCGTTTGTCCTGGTCGCGCCAGCCACGTCGGCGTTGAGGGAGTCAGCCGAAGAAGGTAGACGAGAACGAACGAACAGGCGAACGAATGTCGACGACGACAACGATGACGACGGAGACGTCGCATCGCGTCTGCGCGTCCCGACGCCATCGTCGGTGGGTCGGTCGGTCGGTCGGTCGGTTGGGGGTATTGATTTTCCACGTAGTCATGTGTGAGTGTACAGTCGCGCATACGCGCTGACCGCACACACGCATATATATATACGTAAATTTATACACACACACACACTCGCCACGACGACCGGCACAGCTACCAATTGCCCGCGGAATTCCGCCAAGTCTCTCCCCGGCGTCGTCGTCGAGTGCTACCCTCTGGCTACCTCGCGAGAGGTGCTCTTTGTGGCCTCGCGCTGCCGAACATAAGAAACGAGACGTCTCGAGTCCGCTCGTTTGTTGGTTCATTGCTATTCGCGCACCGATTTCGCCGTCACGCGTCGCGGTCGTTGAAGAGGGAAGTTCCTCCTGGACGGTGCCGCGACGTTGTCACTCCCATTCTGCTGCTTATTCCAGAAGGGAGAGGGTGGTCTCTGGGTGGACGCGGTTCCATGAGGGCAGCGTTTCCGTTTCGTCGGGTCCTAGTGAACATCATCACGCCCGGTGTCGCGCGTTACGTATCCACGTAGGGATCCAAACTTTTCACGCAATCGCGCCGCCCCCTCCTTGCGGGAAAACGACGGTGTCTGATCTTGTGCCCGCTGGTTGCGTGTTGCAGGCTGCGGTAAGCTCGCCGTTTCGGCGGTCCCGGCGACAATCAGGAAGCGGCGTCGCACCGTTGCCGGTATCTCGAGGCACCGGCAGGTGGGGAGGCTGTGAGGAAGAGGACGACTTTCGTCCGGCATCTAGTCCCGTCAAACACTAGAGCACCAGCCGGCGATGCCTGCACCGACGTCAGCGGCGGGTGCGGCCGAGGGTGGTCCACCCCGCACCGAATTGCAGGAGTTACAGCTCAAGGCCGGTCAGACTACGGATGAAGTGAGTTGAGATATAGAATATGTGTGTATATATAAATAAATATATAAATACACAAATATACACCCCCCCCCCCACACACACACACATACAACGGTGTTACGGTTAAGGTGTCCATCCCTTCATACACAGGTAGAGCGGGTGAAACTGAAAAGGAAAATGATGTACCATTTTGTAAAGTTCACAATAATTATCGAATAATTAAGAAACCCGTATGAGCGCGTAAGAAGCAGTAGGCCGAACTCGGTAGTCGTGGAAAATAGCTTATTTCTTTGATTTCCTAGCAACGGCGAGCATCATCTGACACCGAGAGGTGGAGCAATGACACTACACCAAAAAACAATTGTCAGGCAGCAAGTGGCGATCGTCTATGCGTCTTATCGCCCGAGGCGCGCCGCTTACAAAATTGTACATAACTTTTCTTTCCGGTTTTACCCGCTACCTGTGTATAAAAGGGTGGACACCGTAGCCATATGTGAAGGGATAACCTTAACTGTAAATGAAAGGGTGGACACCTTAACCACCCGGTATGTGCACGCGCGCGCACACCCCCAACACACAGAGAGTGATTCCTAAGTACACAAAATGTAAAAGGATATTTCCTCATTTATTTTATGAAGACATCGTCCTATGAACGTATTCCTATGAACGTTCGGGCGCCTAGTATGTTCTCGCATGTTTTGTTTTCAAAATACAGGGTGCAAAATTTGAGAGAACAATGAAAATTTGGAGAACCCTAAGAAAACGCTGGGTGACACTTTATTCGAAGTTGGCGAACACATGGTGTTAAAAACCATTTTCCAGTACCGATGACACGATCTGTTCCCTAATAAGAGTAAAATTATTTACGTTGTTAATTTCAATTTCTTACTTCAACTAAAAAATTACTAATTACATCAAAGAAACACAAAAGACAGTTTTTGTTATTATGTCAAGAGGTTAATGATTGAACACCAATATTGAACACCTTTTAATTTAAAAGCTCATAGCGTGGCTCTCCCATGTCTTCGTCGTATACGTAGACAAGATTCTGCTGTTTTATTTCTGCTGACACGCGCGCGCGCACCCCCCCCCCCTCCTCCACACGCACACAAAAGAGGTGTGAATCCGATCGTGCAACCTCCACGCGGTACACCTTAGGTAATGCATGCCGACACAATAAATAATCATAACTATATAAAATTCTATAGGGTCTTCTCGTCCCATACTTACATTTAAGTATTTTTACTTAATAATTAAATTAAAATCTTTAATCCAAGACAGTATAAATTTCATCAATTCTTTCATACAAGCTTTCATTTAAAAAGCAATTGATTATGCTACCTTTGTACAGTCAATATACTGCAGCCGACGGTACTATGACATTTAACCCCTGTAACTTGAAAAGTACTCAATGAAAAAATACTTTATTATAGTGTTTCGAAAAGCTCTCGAAGTAAGTTATAAGAATATGCGATGAAAAATCGGGGTTTCTATTTAAGAAATTGTCCATGACCTTCGTGTGACCTTCAAACGACTATTCGAGGTCAAATTATTGCCACCATTTTATGTCCCCTTTGAAACCATACAACTTTTGTCTGAAACATTTTTTTCTAAAACTACGTCATATCGGATATTTGACTGACAAAAATAAAATAGAACACCCTGTATGTAGGGAATTGTACAATATACGGAACTATATATTATATATATAGGTGTCACGCAATACGACAGCCACAAGGATTTACACGAGGGCTGAAACCGGTGTAGTTTTGCAACTTTGAGTCCTGATTTTAGTCGCGCGAGGATGAACTCTCATATTTATCCGTGACAATAGAAAGGCAACAATTGACACGAGGTCCTTTCCCGCGTATCAGTGCTGTCGGAAACTTGCGGAGTAGAAATATTCGGCAAATCCTTCGTAATTTTTAGTAAATCTCTCTGAGGTGTTACGTAGCATCCCGAATAGAAGCTTGCCGTAACTTGCCGTAACTCGTCTATTTATTATTGGCTTAAGATAATCGAAAGAAAATAAGTAATTTATTTACGGAGCCGTTATCGTACGTTTTAGATATTAAAATTATGGTTAAAGTCATTTTCGTTAATTGGGAGAAGCTTTGAACCTTGAAAATTTTTGGGAACTACTATTAATAGCACGGTCGAATCGATCTTCTTGAGTAAACTATTATATATTCGCGAAGCACAAGATTGGCGTCGGAGTCCAGGAGAAATTGTAATTTCGCCTTTTCTTAAGAAATAATTCAAGCAACGTGTGTAGTGAGGACAAAACGAAAATAAAGTTATAGTTTCTCGAGAAAGATTTAATAACTGGATCAAAACTCTCAATAATATACACACAAAAATGACGAGTGAATAATGAGATTATAACGCAGTTATTGTTGCGCGATTCATATAATCAGCTATATTCAATTATGAGTATAATTCCTGGACACAATAAATATTCAAAAATGAGTTTTCATGATTTTAGTTAGGCCGGAGTGCTCTTAGATTCTTCGGACAAAAAGCAGGAAAGACACTGTTATGAATCCTTTGACAAAACGTGATATTTTTCTCGCAATAAATTTAGAATAAAATATTTAGACACTAACACCCTGTCACGGCTCTTAGTCCTTTATCCCTTCGTGTTTATCACATTTGAGCCATACGAATTTCATTAATTTGTCAATCTATACTGTCAATTCCTATGAAGATGGATATTCACAATGAATATTACTAAGAATATTAGCTATAAAATTTAAATTTACTCGCAATTTCCCCATGTTGTAACATGTGATGTGGTAACCGACGTGATCGACTTTGTTTCAGTCTCTGGAGAGCACAAGGCGTATGCTGGCGCTATGCGAGGAGGTGAGTCTGTCCCCTTCGGCATTTGTTCCCTCCTCTACTTGCGCATCGACTCCTTGATCCTCTCTCGATCGTCCTCGAGAACCCGCGTCGGTGCACTCTTCCTCTACCCTTCCGTGAACCGAATCATGTAGCGGCCCTCCCCCCGAGCCCCTCGTTTAGTCCCCTATAATATCCTCGATCCTCGAGCCTTATTCCACCTGTCTTTGTCTCGTAAACTAGGAATAATTTTCGTCGACGAATCGTTGCGCGCTTGACTGCGACAAAACGGGCGCCACTGCTCGCTTGGAGTTCTACCTCGAACTGTTTTAAAAAAAAGAAAAGAAAAAGAAAATGGCGGCAAACAGAAAAAGGAATCGCGCCAGAGAAAGGTGGGCAAAGTACTATTTCGATCATTAACCAGTCAAGTGGCGAGTACTTCCGATCGATTCGGTTTGTTCCACGTGACTCGCGCTGTTGAGGATTAATTAATAGACCGTGTAGTAGACGCAAACTAGCAGTGCCAAGTACGGAACAATCGAGTGCGTCGCTTCGACCGATTGAGCTTGAATCAGGATGAGTGACCAGACATATAAATCCCTTTGAATTAAGATTTCTGTTTCCCAACGTTTCTACCTCTAATTTATCCGACCGTGAGACTACCGGAGGATCAAGTTTTGTTATCTCATCCTTTCGCCGCGGTTTCTTTAACAATTGATAATACACGGGCACGCAAAAAAAGGTCGAGGGTCCGAGAAACTGAACCTCCCTACCCCCCATGTTTCTCAGTGCGCCGAATTCGAATCCAAGATCCGTTTGACTCCATCAGGTCCCAGTTTTTTATAACCTCACAAAATGTGAAAATTCTGGATAAGCTTGACTTTGTGTAAAGAAATCGTTCAACTCTCTCGGCTGGAATTAAATGGAAACGTTAACCGGTGATATACGTCGAGGTGTTGAATCGAAATCAGGCCTGCGCCGTGGTTAGCTTTCTGATATATGGATGCACTTTGACCACGTAAAACGGTAAAAATTGGTTAAATTTGCACCCTAAAATAGAAATATGGCTGGTGTGTTGATCGGAATCAAGTGCCAACGTGATAAGAGGGCGTACTTCGTCTCACACAAAGGTGTAAACTTACCCCAAGTGTTCACATTTTGTGAAGTTATGAAAATACTGGGACCTGATGGAGTTAAACGGATCTTGGATTCGGATTCAGCACACTGAAAAATAGGCGGGTAGAGGGGTTTTAGTTTCTTGAGCTTGCAACTTTTTTGTATGTAATCGACCATGACTGGCGATGTGTTTTTAACACAGAAAATTTATTGCGTGAGACGCCCGCCTAGAGTGTAGGGGGGGGGGTCCAGGTTCCAACCCTGGTTGAGGTAATATTTTTCGCGATAAATTTTCTGTGTTAAAAACACATCGCCGGTCATGGTCGATCAGAAGCTTGATCGTTGTTAGTCATTTGCTGGCGTCAAAATAATTCTTGATGTTTTTTGTATGTACCTGTGTAATTGATGTATTAACGAACACTACTTGACTGGTTAATCGTTGCTCTTAACGGGCATGCCGATTCTGTTTTGCACAAAATTCACGCCAGCGAGACAACCTCCTGCGGGACAATCTCCAGGTCGCAGGGGGAGGAGAGGCAAGCTTCGAGGGGATCGTGCAGGGAAATGGGGAGGATGTATTGCAGGTGACGTCGAGGATGGGGGCAGAGAAACGTGCGGTGTTTTCGAAGTAGTATTTTATCCAGCTCTGGCGCCACACGGAGACGACGATTCCGGCGGCGCGTTGCGGTCCGAGCGTGTAAGGAGCGGGAAAAGAGGATCGTTTAACGCGACACGGACGAGAGGACAAAGGTTCCCTCCTCAGTGGGAGGGAAGTGGGTCAATGAAACCCGATGTCCGCGATCTTAGAATCGCAAGAGAAGAAGTAACGAAAAAATAATAAAGAGAGGGAAGAAAGAGAAATCGGGGGAGAACAAAAATGATCGCGCGAACAAACGTTTGCTCGCGCGAGGAGAAATTTGTAAGACGACGCATCGACGCGCTCCGAGAGACGGCGGCGAGGCGCTTCGCGAACGTACGCAAGAGGGGGCGATGTCCCTCCTGTCGATTATAGACTTCGATTCGTGATTACAAGGGTGGTTCAGACTAGGATTGTGAAAACTATATTGCTGGTAATTGGGGAATATATATATGTATATTTTTTTCTTTATGACAATTTTAGAATTAAAGATACAAAAAGTAGAAATATTTATTTATTTTAACGATCGAAGTAATATCCTAATAGCACTGAATTCTGCCGAGTGTTCTCGAAAGGTATGAAAATATGAAACCTGAACCATCCTGTATACCCCATTTCTGTTAGTTTTCGATTTCTTTTTTAATTATTACCGAAAAGGTGCTCTATAACCGTCGCATTTCACTTCAGTCGTGGATTTTTGCTAAATGTATTTCTTTGTCGCAAAAAGGACTACCAGGATAAAGAAACAAAATAAAATCATCCTTCCATGTTAATCCAACGAATTCTTTATCTTAATAGAAAGACTTAACTTGAAATTCTCAAAATGTTTTACTATTTAAAATTTAAAAACTTAAAATTAAATTTTCTGAGATTTATTAATTTATTAAGGAACTTGGTTAGATGAACATCCGGTAACTATAAAGCGTCGCACTATACTAGATATGTTGAAAACAATCTCGAAAAGTTCAGAGTTATTTGTCTAATATCCATTTCTGTCAATGTATCATCCAAATGAAGGAAATTCTATAATGATTGCTTTAAGGTGATTCCAAAACGCAGCGGTTTCGTAGGAATAACATTTCTAAATAGTATTTGTCAAAAAATTGATAACTCAATTTAGGGGACAAATTATGCACGAATTATTTCGACATTTAGAAGCAAAATTGTCCAGCAATACAGTTACGTGTAATAAATGTTGAAAAAAACTTTAGCGTGAAAAGTGTTTACCCCTGGGTCTACTTTTATCTCGTCTCGCGTGAATTTTAATCGTAAAAATACATTTTCTTTTTTCTTCAATTATATACAAAAGGAACCGGGAAAGAAATTACGATTTTACTTACGAGTAAGTATGAGACACCTTGTAGCGGCAGCTCGTCGTAACGCGATAAACATTTATTACACGTAACAGCAATTTAATTGTGCAAATATTCTGCCAAGGATAATTTGCCAAGGCGCTGCTGTTCTGCTGACATACTATTTAGAAATACATTGTGCAAATATTTATCAATATTTGATGGAAGGCCTCCATTTTTGCATATGCTGTGCGAAATATGTACGCGTAATTCCAGCATTTCAAGTTTCACTCGGATCTCGTTGCAATAATTTTCTAAATATTTTCCTATCGGGGAAGAATATCACTCGGCACAAGTGACTTGGATCTCGCTTCTCGAGTTTCGCATCGCTGTTGCGGAAGTGACGACGAGTACGAGTACCTTTTCAACTCCGTGCCGCGTATTGATTCTCGCGTGTGTCTTACGATATTGCGTGCGTTCGCGCGTGTGCCGCGACCGTGAAAAAAAAAACGATCTGCATTTTCCGCAGTTCTCCACGTTCTCTTTCCACGCATAATTATTCGTTGTCTCTATGCTCGATACCTTCGATATCTACTATACTTCTACATATGTGCGTGTGCGTGCGTGCGTGCGTATGTTGTGTGTGTGCACGCGCGCGTGTATGCGTGTGTACATTTCTATACACGAATGTACGCGATTCTTGTATATCTGTTTTTGTACATATTTGATAGAGGTGTTTGCTCTTCCTTTACTATTTTTAACTTACTGTACTTGTCGAAGGAACGCACGCAACTGGCTTCCAATCCGATCTGATCCGTCAAATCGGATTATCGTTTCCGATAATTGGTCTGAGCATTGTATTTATTATTATTATTACTAGTGGACAATTGTCAATGGCCATCTTTACCGCATTGGAAAAAGCTCGGAGATTATTTTTCAGCTCAGTGCGATGTATGCATATAATATTGATATAATCTCTTTGACGGTCCTGCGTTCATAAATAATGCATTTCGCACGTTTATTATTGACACAAGTTCAATGTGCCCAAAGTAAAGGTATTTATATAGCCTTGAATGATGTGAAATTGCCCAATTTTTAGCTAACGCTCACGTTTTCACAATTGCATAACATTCGGCAAGTCGCGCAGAAGCGAGCCTGCTGTAATTTTACTTGTTTCGTTGGCGAGAAAATTTTCGCGCGAGATATAATAATCGCGAGGCAAAAGCGGGTCGGTACCGACTTTTCTTCACGGACAGAGAGGATCCAGGTCTTTGTGTCGTTCCGTTTCAGTCTCTCTCGCTGCTACTTACCTATCTGTGGCTGCACTAATACGCACGTGTCGCATTCTTCTGAGCACCGAGGATGTTCTCGAATCATCATCGATCGAGAGAAGTGTACGTACATACACTCACAATGCGCGACGTGACATCATTGTCACGTCGTGGCGCGTGATAACGATCGCGCGAACTGTCAATCGACCAGGAAGCAAATCGCGTGCCAATACGAGCTTCCGCGGGCCAGGGGGATGAAACGTTCTCGTTAGCCGCTTAGAGCTGCGCGTGCCTTCTCGGTGGCACAAGAGAGGAATCCACCAAAGTCGAACGCGAGAAAATGGATCGCCGGCTCTTTGCCCCGTAAAGCTCGGTCGTGATATTTTTCGTCACCGGACGAGGATCAATTCGTGGTGTACACCCGCATCTCTTCCATGACCTCTAGCAATGTAAGTTCTCTGCGCGGTGGTGTGCGAGCGACGGGTTTTTTTTCTCTCTCTCTCTCTCTCTCTTTATGGATATCGTTCCTGCTTGATGCGAACCTGTATATTTCAATGGATAAAAATCTTGTCGAGGACAAAAAGACTTATTTTGCCGAAGAATATAATTTGTTTTAATAAGAAAAATGAAGAAGGAACTTAATTTTTCTATCCAAGTATATAAATGCAGAGAAAATACAAAAAAAGAAAAATTATATGGGATTCATGT